AAGTGGTCTGATTATGCTTTCCTCTTGATGTGTGTTATCATAAGCTCAGCACTCCTGGATAAACCAGAGTGATATGAAGGATAAGAAAAGTGATCGGGAACTGAAGGGCAGAATTATAAATCTGGTGGAATCCTTCCTTGTCTCCCATGACTAACCTTAAAAAAGCCCAAGCTTTTTTATGGCTTTAGTCCATTTTCAGGTCACAGGAGGTCCTGAGACCCAAAGTCAGCATCTAGTGGGCTGCTGTCCGGTATATGCTTACCGCACAGAGCCATGCTGTAGGCGAGAAACATCTCAACAACAATATTGTCTGCATCCATGTGGCTGCCTGATTGACAGCTAGCTCTGCCTCTCTAAAGCCAGAGCCAGCTGTGCCTGCCCCCTTCCCTGTCTGTCCCTCCAATGAGAACTGGAGGAACAGAGTGGAAGGGGGAATCCCTGCAGGGAGTGGTGACTGATAGTCACTGATTTCTGCAGGGAGACGACTGTGAACTGAATGATCGGTGGTTTGTGATTGCTCAGCTCTCGATCTCTAGAGCCGGCATGTGACAGCTGCAGTGTCCCACTTCAGCTCAAAGAAGACTAAATTTTACTCTCCCAATACTTCTCCTTTAATGTATTTCCATTAAGCATTGGATGGGGACCAGACATGGTCCATCATCAGATAACCCACCCTGAGAATTAATCACTGAACGGTGGAATGGACATGGTCCATCATCAGAAAGCCCACCCACAGAATTGCCTTCACTGAAATGCATGCATGCAGGAAGTGGCTGTAAAGAGGTTACATGAAATTAACAGACCTGAAATGGAACAAAACATTAAAAAAGGGAGGAATCAAGTACTTTATGTTTAAAGTGACAATAAACTCAGGAATTAAATCTTAAAAATGCATCCAAGTACCTTAACCCCTCAAAATGTATCTTATTTGTGTATCACTCGGCTGTAGATCCTCAAATCATCTCTGAATTGGTGTTGACACTGTCCTTCCTTCTGGAGGGTGGTTACTTCTGTTCCCCATGGTCCCTGTGTGTGTTGTAAAGCAGTCACCACTCCAAGCTCACTCCTGTGACTACAATCTCACAATTTTAATTACTTATTTGTTTTTAGATTGTAGTCCATCACGGGAGGGAACTTAGAGCAGTGGCTACTTTACAACACACACAGGGACCATGGGGAACGAAAGTAGCCACCCTCCAGAAGGAAGGACAGCATCAGCACCAATCAGAGATGATTTGAGGATCTACAGCCGAGTGATACACAAATAAGATACATTTCTGTTAAGAGTAAAGGTACTTAATATAATATAAATCTTGAGTTTAGTGTCACTTTAAAAAATGTCAATCGCTACACAATCCTTTGGCAAACTATACAACATGTCATTCATTTAGGCCTGGCTCACACTTTGGCATTCTGTGAACGCATTTTAAAAATGTGTCATGTGTACGTTTATGCAACGCATCAAAAATGTGCTTGCACTGCCATTACTTGTTAATGGCACCCCAAATGCGGCTGGAAAAAGCATGTTTTTAGTCGTGTATCAAGCGCACATAAACACACACGTGCATCAAGTGGTCACAAAACGTGGGAAAGCACTGCATAAGCTTTGCTGTGTTTTTTGCACATGTGGCATCCCATTGAAATGAATGGGCTGACGCTTGGCAACACTCACCAACGCATGCCAACGCACATTCCTTGGATTGCCAAGTGTGAACCGGACCTTAGGGTTTACATTTGCTTCAACATGCATTGCAACACAACCCTTCAATATTGCATGATCTTTGTATTTCACCAAAACCCCGCACTTCCCGAAATATGTGAATGTATCCTTATGCCGCACATGTGCTGCATTAACCAACTAACCAACGACCACCCCAGCCAGTCTTGGTGGCACAGATGTTCCACTACCTGCCCCTTTATGACTAGCCTATGAATTGAACAACCCATGCTCTTCCTATAGAACTACAAGTCACATGGGGCCATGCAGCTATTGTACCATATAAAAAAAACGTAATCCAATCTACATAGATTCTTTATAATGAATGGAGGTTTTCACATGAACTCAGCTGCTTTGTTCGCAGTGAACCAACGATTCCAAAGACAAACACAGAACCCAGCGGCCAGGGAGCGTGTCTGAATTTACATAATTGGCTCATTTCCAATGTGAACACAAGAGGTCGCTGTTGTGACCCAATGCTGAAAATTCTGTCTAAATTGTTAATCGCTGCTTGATTTATTCCACAACCAGCACAATATCAAGAGGGTGAAAAATACACATACAAGTCACAAACGTATGGCAGGAAAACACAACACTACACCAGCAAACCATCAATCCTCCCTAGAAGAACATAGCAACATCTAGATAACACATCTCCAATTCCAGAGGGTTATTGTAATATCTCATGAAAATCTACATCTAAAACATAGCTAATAAAAATATTTACATTGATGGGGAAGTACTCTCAAAAGAGAGAGAGAGCAAGAAAGTTAGAGAGGGAGAGAGAGCTAGCTAAGGAATGAATTAGCAATATATTTAAACACCTTAAACATACATGGAAATGTTTTAAAATATATTGTTAATTAATTCTTTAGCTAGCTCTCTTTCTCTTACGAGAGAGAGAGAGAGAGAGAGAGAGAGAGAGAGATCAAATGAATACACTTTCTGCAGCCAGATATATTACAGATGACCTCTGGTGATGATTGCATCATTGATGACAATTTGGAGAGTAGAGGGGTTCAGTAATCCTCCATCGAACTGTCTACAGTACCCTGTAAGATGCAACTCTTTATAAATTAGGTGTGTCTATGTACTATAGAGATCCGAGGCAATGACTGACCCACTGGTCCGATGTTAAATAGATACAATGTGGCTTTTTCCTGTACTGAGTACATTCATCATACAATGTATCCAGCACACTTTCATGGGCTCATTATACAGAACCCACCAGATTAGAACAGAGTGTCCTTTTCCTGAAAACTGTAACCACCTTGTTTTATGTTGTGTTTTTTTATTATTTCAGTCCTCTGGCTTGGCCATAATTAAAGCCTTGAGCAAACAAACGCCAGAGGTCAGCTCCATTGTCTATGGACTGGATGGGACACAAGAGACGGAAGCTATTCATGGCCTAAACCCACAATGACTGTCAGGGACTGTGCACTGAGGAGTGGCACTAAAACTCAGGGGCTCAATTAGAAAAAAACTAGATTATCCACAGAAACAGAGTACATGGCGAACTTTGTTCACACGGTCAGAACCATTGCTTCCTATGGACAACTTTTCTTCTAGTTTTTCTAAATCAATGTCATAGCGCTGGTATAGGCAGAGAGAACTGCACCATAGAGACATAGCAATACCAGACCACCTTATATATGTGATGGCTGACTGAGAGGCTGATTTACTAAAGGCGTTAAGAACCTTCACACAATAGATTGTGTGAATCTTCCATCTAATTATTCAATCAGGTGAAAAGCAAATTCCAGTGAGCTTGTTTCCTCTGCACATGATTGGATAATTGAAGTGACCATTCATACAATGTATGTGTGCAGATTTGCAACTCCTTTAGTAAATCAGCCCCGATGTGCACTCTCTCTCTCTCTCTTTATATCTATCTATCTATCTATCTAACTATCTATCTATCTATCTATCTATCTATCTATCGATCTAACTATCTATCTATCTATCAATCTATCTATTTATCTACCTCTATATCTCTATTTACCTAACTAACTATCTATCTATTTATCTATCTATTTATCTATCTGTCTATCATTCTCTATCTCTCTCTCTCTCTCTCTCTCTCTTTCTCTCTTTCTCTCTCTCTCT